ACCCTTAAAGGGGAAAGGTTGCCTACCCCTGATCTTGCCTGATAAAGAAGCCCATAGAGCTTCAAAAGCTTGCAAGAAGTATATTGTGCATTTTGGTTGGCCAATAAATGTATCACTGGTGGATTTTTGTTTGAATTTGCTAAATGGCCAACACAGCTACCTTGCATGTTTTGTGTGTACATGTGTCAAAGAAAACACAATAATGCACTTCTTACATATGTTGATAGCAGTGGTCCATGCTGGACTACATGCATATGTGGGTGATAGCATTAGAAGCAGCAGACTAGGAAGTGCAGCTAAAGTTCTTCATAGGTGCGGGTCATCAAAAACATTGAAATGTGCAGTACAAGTGATGGTATGTATTGTCAAGTGTATGGCAAGCCTATTGAGGATCTCCCTGGAGCCACTGAAGGATCATACTTGATTGTATTCAGCTGCTGGTCTGAGAAACAGTAAGAATTTCCACTCATAGCACACAAACCTCTTATATCTGTATGCACTTTTCTGTTTGCAATTTATACAAGATGGACTCCCTATAAACATGAACTCGAGAACTCAGATAGTTATCTACTGCTTTGAGCCCTGTGGCGACTTTCTGATTTACAATAGTTAGCAAGAGGTTCACCACTTTCATGACAACACCACTTTGAAGGTCCATGTTGGGGAAACAGGGATGCAGAGATCAAAGACTACAATAAGGTCTTTCAAGAAATGGGTGGGCTGTCTATCTAATCCTACACCATAATCCCCATAGTTCTGCAATAGGAGTACATTGCCCTCTGCAAAACAATTCTGGCAATTGATCAGATACCAGTTAATCAACACTATTGACAAGTAAGAGTGCCAATGTTCTGGATTGTTTCCCTCCTTGAACACTCCCACTGACTGCGACCCAACAGTCAATTTAAGTTTTGCTGAAGGACTCTCTTGTGAGCCACTAAAAATGACTTTTGAGACACTCTGTTGTGATTTATGCCACAGGTGAATATCACTGTTGTGGGATGGAAAAGAACAAATAAAATCTGCAACACAATATTGCAAAATGGACGACAGTTATGGTTTCAGGATTTCTTCCAGCCAGCCAGCTACACCTTCCTCCTGGATACTCCATTCCCTTCTTTTCTGGTTTTCAGCTCCCATCACCCACCCCAGCCAATTTTCTGCAAGCTCATTCTTCATTGGGTTGGTTTGGGTTTTTTGCTTCCTTAGAGTAATCTGTTTAAAGATTTGTTCTTTCCTTCTGCAAACCTTACGGTTCCCTTGAGAGTAATCATCCCACTCTCTTTGCTTACAGGAGGATATGCATTCAGAAAAAATGATAGAGGGGGAAATGAATGTGCATGGCAACCAAAGTGGACTTCACGGACTAAATCAAACTGCTAAACCCAATTAGTGAAGACCCTTGGAAACTATAAGATTTATGTAATTATTGATTTACCATTCAGCAGTTGATTCAATGGATCTGTTCCAGTTAGGGCTAGCAATTGGATATAGGCCTGTATTTACATCACAGAGTGATTTAAGGAAACGCTAATGCAAAGCTCATGTTTAGAAACACCCTTAAGTATATAATTCCTGCAAAATGATTGTCACTGATGGAAAGCAATATTTTTCATGAATTATAGCACAAGAATTATGCCATCATTTCACTATGCACTGGATCAAAGTGGCAAATCTTCTCTGTTTATTTAGGTCTGTATATATGAGTATTCTAAGAATGTAGGTGGAGCCTTGAGGGTTCAATACCCCCATTTTTTTTTT